TAGTGACTTTATTATAAAACTCTTTGTGATTGAACAAAGTTTCCCTCAGCAGCAAAGAATGAGCCCACTGTTGCTGGATTTAGCTTCTTAATGCAATTATGAGTAATAGGAGGAGAAGAAGGGAACAGTACAACTGACTTTCTGAATCACTGATATCAGACTTTCTCTAAGAGATTCAGTAGAAGACAACCTGACTTGTATTTTTGGTTTCACCTCCATACAAGCGGCTTGTTCACTTCTAACTGACTGGTATATATTCTCACCCCCATCTCACGTGGCTAATTGTCTATCCGTGACCCGATGCTCACGTGGCTCGAGCTGTGAATGATTGGGAAACTGTCAGGTTAGGGATGACTCAAGATCAATACTGCACTATAAGTGCCTGAGAAATGGCGTTGTAGTCCCCCTCCTCTGTTCCAAGATGGCTGCTCTTTTAAATCGTCTGAAAATTGCTGCCTTCAAAGGATTATCTTTTATCTTTTTGGTGCCTTCAAGAACCAAAAAAAGAAGTGACGCTTAGGATCACCACAGACTTTCACCTTATTGTCATCACGTTGCTCATCAGTGCATCGTTATCTTTGTTTTTTAGCTTCACTGCTGCATGTCTGATGCTGACGGACACACATTGTGGAGAATTTTAGAAATGTGGATGAGTTGTCACCACATGCCATCTGGTTTCTGTACTTTATTTAATATATCTGGGCTTCTCAAATGAACTCTTTAACATATTAGCTAAATGGTAAAATGTGGTTCTTGCATGGCTACATAAAATAACTTTGGCTGTTGAGAAAATGTCACACAGACTCGCTCTAAGGTTTAAAGAAATCATCAGAAGCATTCGGTGCTGATTTTTGGCTCCTTCGAACAGGTTATTCTGCTGCTTTGCTCAGACTTAAACCAGTGTTCAATCTGTTCAGGAGCAGCTCCAGAGGCTGGAGATGGAGCTCAGCGAGGTGGCGAAGAACAAAGAGAAGCTGCGGAGGAACCTCCTGGAGCTCACCGAATACACCCACATGCTGAAGATCACGCGGACCTTCATCCACAGCCGCTCCAGGGTGAGTGTGTTTCCGTTTACCTGCTCATTTTTCACATCAGCCGTCACGTCGTTTTCCAGTCCGACCTCTCAGAGATTCCCCCCCTTCTCCTCCGCCTTCGCCAGCAGCATCTTGTTTTCTTGTCGCTGACGTGTTTTATTTCCCTCGGTGACGGAGCTGGAACCGGCGCTGACTTTAATTAATGACACGGTCACAATGCAGCCGTTACGAGCAGCACCTGACTCACCCAGGCTGCAACGAACGACGCCTATATGTGAGGCGGGCGGCCATGAGAGCAAACATCACGGTCCAATGTGTGAACATCGCGTTGGCATGCAAGCAGCAGTTCATGTAAGCTGTTGTAAATGAAACGTGTCCCTCTTTATAATTAGCATGAGGCTCTTGGTCCCCAGTATGAAGAATTCCCCACTATGGAGACGGACTCGGTCACCGGATGCACTGGTATGCAGAGACTCGGAGCCAAGCTGGGGTGAGCTGAGATATGTGTCCTTTACAGCCGCATAACGGGATGTCATAATGTGACTCCACTGCCATTAAAACATACAAACCCTGCACCTAATCTGATCTCCTCTGGGTGTAGATTTGTTTCAGGCCTCATCCAGCGGGTGAAGGTGGAGGCCTTCGAGCGCATGTTGTGGAGAGTGTGTAAAGGTTACACCATCCTCAGCTACGCAGAAGTGGACGAGAACCTTGCTGATCTTGACACCGTGAGTTTCATTAAATGCTGCTCATTTGTTAGAACACATTTAATGTTTTAAGGAATTTCTTTGACATATCAAGCACTGCGGCAGGAACACGTAAAAGTAATTTTTCATCACATGACTTCTTGTAGGTCTGTGGTAGTAACTGGTCTGATCTGTGTTGTTTCAGGGTGAGATCAGCAAAAGTGTTGTGTTCCTCATCTCTTTCTGGGGAGACCAGATCGGACAGAAAGTTCAAAAAATCTGCGATTGGTAAGTAACTTTACCTTCCAATACCTGATGCAGTCTCCTTTCTTGTCAGCTTACACATCTGTGCTTGTTGCCCTCAGTTACCACTGCCACCTTTATCCGCACCCCGAGAACGACGAGGAGCGAGCAGATGTGTTGGACAGTTTAAGGACACGAATCCAGGACCTTAACAATGTAACACTGAAGGCCTTTTGACTCGATGTAATATGTGCAGACACATTCCTAGTGAGTCTGTAGTGACTGTTGTTTCCTGCAGGTGCTTCATCGCACCGAGGACTACCTGAGGCAGGTCCTGCAGAAGGCCTCCGAGTCGGCCTACACCTGGGTGGTGCAGGTGAAAAAGATGAAGGCTATCTATCACATCCTCAACCTCTGCAGCTTTGATGTCACCAACAAGTGTCTGATTGCTGAGGTGTGGTGTCCGGTGAGCGACCTGGCAAACCTGAGAGGGGCGCTGGAAGAAGGCTCGGTGAGTGAAACTATGACGGACAGACTATAGGAGCTGATCATTTATCGATAGTAATGCTTGAGCCATAATGACAGTTTTCACATGGAACATACAGACAAGCAACAACCTGAATAAATAAGTGAAGAAACATAACGCCTTAGGTCTACTGCATGGAACAGTTGAGCAGTTAGCATCCAGTAATGCTCTGTGGCAGGTGTACAAATGCTGCACAGGCTCAACTGACTGTGATGTGTATCAAAATGGAAAGACTGAAGTGACTTGAAGATGGTTTATTGTTGAGGCGTGGATGGCAGGAGCTTCTGTTCAGCTGGTTGATATTTCAATAATGACTGGTCATGATTATGATTGTGATGCTCATTCATTAGTGTGATATGTGAGGAAAAACAGGAGATTCCTCAGGTGATTGAGAATGTCCATACAGGACGTGATCAGACTGTGTGACCCCCACAGTGAAGGGATTCATGGTTCTGTTGAGCTGTGGGGGGCATTTCCTGGTTTGGATCCTCTTGTCTTTTTCATTACAAATCTATACAAAGCTGTTCTGAGTGATTACGTTTGTGATGAACGTTTTATCCTGATGGGATTGGTTGCTTCGAGAATGAAAATGCCTTCGTCCACATGGCACGAGGGTCCACTGGATGGTTTAATGAGGATGAAACTGATGTGAATCATATGCTGTGGCTTTCACGGT